TATGCAAATACAGATTTAAATCTTTTATGCCTACAAAATATAAATAATTCACATAATATTATGAAATGATCTAAAGACAGAAGTGCATTTATATGAGTCGTATATTATCTTTCAACACTATTAAACAATGCTAAAACCACAAGTCGACCAATATTTCCTAATTTTTAACCGTTTCTCAACCAATTTAGATGCATAATGAACTCAATCTTTTTGTACTTCATTCTTATTAAAATAAATGAACAAATAAATTTGTTCAATAAAGAAGGAACAAATTGAGCATTTTTCACCGCCTCACTGAGCCTTGCGCTATACTTCAGATACTCGTTGAGAACCTTTAACGCAAATGTTTGTTCAGAACGTTTCAATATTTACCAAATGGCAAAATGGAAATAAATTTGTGACCATATTCTATGTCATCAACAACTGTTTCAAACTACTTCTATTTGGAAAACATTCATCCAAACACTAAATAATCATCTTTCTTTAAATGATTTATTACCTTATAGTACAACTTAAGTAAACTCATCTCTAAAACCATCAAATACAGAAAAAACAGATAGATAAATAACTTCTGAAGTAAATAATAAACTATAGTTTACGATATATTCTCGAGTTGACCTGTAATTTAGAAAATTCTCATTAGTATATCACAGTTTCTTGGAAAATAACGAGTACAAATCTCTGTACTCAGATTTAACTTATATTTAGCAATACAACCAACTAGGTGGGATAAGATCGAATCTACAATTTACTAGTTGAAAACAAACTTTCACAACCAATAGGCTACCTATACACACTGAATCAACTCATTATCTATATCTATATATCAACAGGATTTGTTAATATTTGTTGTTTGAAATAAATCATTTAATAATTTGGCGGTTTCATTTTTTTAAATAAAAAAGTGAGTAGAATAAAAATCAATATTACAACGAATATAATTCTATTCACCTATTTTACAAAATATTAATGAAATATGAATAATTTATACATTAGGAAATATGTGATCAAACAAATTACAATTATCAATATTTAATAGAGAACAAAAATTTAAACACATAAAATGAATTAAATTAATACAGTTTAAAGATGACAAAACATACAGTTCATATAACAATAATTCATTTATAAAAAGTCTTTACAGTTTTAGTGGGTACATAATTTTGTATCTATGAATCAATACACTTAAATATTACATATCAACAAATTATTGAAAGTAGTATAAAATAGAACTATTTATGTTGTAAGCAATTTTATAAATCAAATAAAAACAGTCTAAAGATTAATGATAACAATACAGACTGTAATTTTATTTTTTTGGTTAATTTGCAGAAAACAACTAGACCCCTATTTTATAACCATCTTTAAGTGAATAACAAACTGATGTTTATTGATTTTGCTTCCGGTTTAATTTCATATTGAGGCTTAGTTTGATTAGAACTATATACAGCTGTCTCCAAGTTTTAAAAAGATGACAAACTGAAACGCGAACATACATTTGTAGACCTCATCTTCCTACATATGAGGATTTACTAAGATTCAATCAAGAATAAATAATAAACCTATCCCACCTTCTAAGCTGATTAAATTTTAAGTAGTCAGTGAGATGTAAATGTTCTTTCTTAGTGTTCAAGCTGGTAAATATCAAAGTGGTTAAGCACAACTGATCTGTATTACAATAATGATTTACTTGTGATATGGATTTATGCCTTGAAATCATCGGGCTTTCTACACCGGTAGTCAATGTAAGACAAAGTAATGTTGTACGGAAAAAAGCTGTACAGGATTGGCTTCTGTAGTTCTAACACAAATCTCTGATTGGGATCTTAGAGTTAGCACAATCCAGTGGCTTTAAACGCTACCGGACATGACTTAGTATAAAAGCCATTAATGAAGCTATTTGTTTCTCCTATATTCTTCACAACAGAGAAACTCATTTAACTAGAAAAGATTCTTTCTTAGTTGCATTTTTCTTAATTAAACCATATTTGTTCACCTGTATTTTCATTGTATCTACCCCCCCCCATATCTCCACGACAATATTCCTGTATTTGATGTAGGACTTGCGCTTTTGTGCCTAGTTGTGCTATATTTTGTACATTAAATAAAATTTTGAATACCTAACTGGGTTAGTAAAGCAATAAGCTCAATGATATGTGTGGCTGGCCAGTTTTCTTTTTATTTATTTGTTAGAAGGTATGATGCTAAATGACCAGTCAAAAACCAACTTAATATGGCTGTACAAAATTATATCATCTAAGATAGAAAAATGCTCTGTATCTGTACGATGAATGAATTTTGTGCAAAAACCCAAACGTTATCTTATGTCTGAATACTCCGTTTATACAGCACAACGCCAATGTTAATTCTTTTTTTAAGACTTAAGTTTAAGATTTAAACGTAGTGTTGATTCTCCTTTTATATACAATCCATATAGAAAGTAACTGATCATTTTATGATTTTAACACCAACACCTTTACTCTATGATCGTAAAAAATAATCATCACTTTTGGATTTAAACATTCTCAATACTATCGAAAGGTTTTTTGCTGCTCATTCAGTATATGTGATATAAGACGTCGTTTATTTTTAATTTTGCCCAAAATGCCTGAAATTCACTTCGATTTTGATGTGCTTGTCTTTATATTATACTTTCACCGTACCAACTTAATGTGAACTTAGTTCAGTAAGACACGCAGCTCGGCTTTTCGCAATAATTCTGTTTATTCTTCTTTAGATTTCATACTTTTTAACTAAATATCACGTATGAGTGAAATTAATGTGTGTATTTTTACAATTCGAACAAGCTTTTGTCAAAAAGTCCATTAACAAAACATCATTTATAATATCTGAGGGATACTTACACTTGCTAACAATGGGAAAGTATGAAATAACTATAATTTATCATTGTTAAATACAATTCTACAAAGCTTTTCCAATGTTGTTGCACAACCACCACCAAAACTACATAGGACTGTGTACAGCATCAATCAGAGGGATATGATAAGAAACACTAACTTCGACAAATAACCTAGATTTGTTTGTATCTGTCTAAGTTTAGACCTTTCTACTTTGAACTCAATGACTTAATATATGAAGTGATTAGAAAGAATGCTCCAGTGAAACAGCCGGTCACAGACAACATCAGAAATAGTAATATGTTTTAGTTTAAGTTAGCTCACCTCATATCAGCAAATTTAAACTAACTAGATAGAAATTAATAGAGAGGAGTTAGTTTCAAGTGAAGTGGAGATCTAAATATAAGGAGTATAGTTTGCAGATAATAAATAGGACAGGGAAATGACAAGTATGAATAACACGAAACTCGTGGTTGATAGAAAAATTAAAAAGTGAACTCCACTATGACTGGTTGTTTCCTATTGTCAGCAAACGTCCCCAACCAGTAAATAGGCTGAAATATTGGTGTCGGATTACATTATTTCTTGTCAGGAACTACTTACACAATTTCTATATTTCGTTTTCAAGTCTCACCTTACATAGATACATAGGGACGGTAAATTAGTAGCTCTATCCATAAAGCTTTAGCTAATTCCGCTCAGATTATTACCAGATATTTCAGAAAATTAATCCAAAATGGAACTTGGTGGTTTATGGATGCAGAGGTTTCTCAGTTGCATACAGTATGGATTTTCGAGTTCATTGAGTAAAACCTATGGTGTGTAGTGTTCAGTTATTGTTTCATCATGGACTAAGTTTCGCTACTTTAGTTTTACTTGTTTTCTGATATGAATATCATCTGTTTCACCATAGTTTTTTAGGCACTGACAGATTTTAATCATAAGGCGGAAATCCAGTTCAGATGAGTGAAATTTAGACGATCAATAAGTTTTCCATTAACGCTATTGCTTCCAAGATCAAAGGGAATACTTCTGTTTCCAGAAAGCCTAGCTCATAAACCTTCTGGTGCACCAATGCTAGCCAATCAACTGATAGTTGTAATTGTGAGACGAAAACCCTCGAAACTCATTCGGAATTTCAAAAATAGAATCCGTCTTGCACGAAAGCTTGGAGCTATTTCGCATATATCTATTTAAATGAAAGATAAACTCAAGGAGTGGATGAGCTATTTGAATCCTTGACCACAGATTCCGGCGCTGATCCACCAGCAACGACTTGGGCGGATAAGCAGAGCTGTTAACCTACATTCTCTAGACATGGTGTATGGCACCACGTTAGCTTTATACTTGTTTGATAGGAAAATACAAGCTTCTATATGTAAGCTACTCCGTTAACAATACACATATACCACCTTAATCAAATGTATGACATATTTTCACCCGTGTAAAGTTTGACATGCTTTAAGTATTTTACGTGTTTGATGGAAATACAGTATGTAAAATCACTGCATCCTGCAAACGTAAACTACTTGAATGAACTGTGTATATTCGATAAAATTGGTTGGGATAACCTGCATATCTTCAGATGACATAATTCACCACAACAGCCTTATTACATCAGAGCTAAACATTACACAGCAAGCACGTGAGAAATCATCGAGTTATCTGAGCTGAATTCCTCCAAAAATATATCTAACACCTCGCGGCAAGACTCTAATTTAGGGACGAGCCAATCAGAAGCGTTTGAGCAATTTCAAGGTCACGGAGCCAAGTTCAACACGCAATGCTAACATACGATCAGTTCACAGCGGATTTTAGAGAGGAGGTGATTAATAAGAGGTTACAACAGATGGGACGGCGAGACTCTAATTTAGGGAAGAGCCAATGAGAAGCATTTGAGCAATTTCAATTATTAGCCAATCAGAAGACAGTTGGTATAAAGTGAGAATATATTGTAAGTAAGTAATGAATTACAGTGGATATTCTTCTTTTACATGATTTAAAAACTTGTTAAGGTTTGATAAGGGCTCAGAAGTTCTAAATTCATAATGCATACGGTATAGAAACTCGTCCATAGGGTTAGGGTGCTAACATGAGATCGGTTTACATCGGATTTTAGAGAAGAGGTGTTTATTGAGAGGCTACAACCCTAACCTCTAAAATCCGTTGTAAACCGATCTCATGTTAGCACCCTAACCCTATGGACGAGTTTCTATACCGTATGCATTATGAATTTAGAATTTCTGAGCCTTTATCAAACCTTAACAAGTTTTTAAATCATGTAAAAGAAGAACGTCCACTGTAATTCATTACTTACTTATAATATATTTTCACTTTATACTAACTGTCTTCTGACTGGCTAATAGTTGTCAAGGTCATCTAAGATTCGTTCAAAGGTCGTCCCTAAATTCCAGTCTCGCCCACTTCGCAGTTTTGTAAAACAGTGGGAGCGAAATCAAACTTAGAAACATCTATCTAATTGCATAACAAAACTGATCGCTGCAGAAAAAATTCATGGAAAGCTCCATATACACAGTCAGACCAGTATAAGATAGCGGTGCCTCTAAACAAACGACTGTCCTGTTTAGTTAGCATCTCCCGATTCAACAGAATCCAGAATGACTCGAAAGATTAAAATTATTAGTTTATCAACGTCTCATCGCATATATAAATCAAAGCCAGAAGTCAAAGTGAGACAGAGAAAGTATGTTGCCTTCGGGAGATAGCTTTCTAAAATGTCCTTAAACAAAAAAGTTTATCTTTTTGGGGATTTATTAAAATGAAAAATATACATAAGTAGAAAGCAAAATAACATCTTATATGACGCGAATTTAGCAACAAGTGCTTCCTTAGAATACACAAGTGCTACATTAGAATTCAGTCAAAATTAGGGAGAGATTTACTATTCAAAATTAAAATCCACTGTCGAAATCATCAGACTTGACCACCAGATAAACCAGAAAGAAGATGGTTGCAAACATAAGCGTGTTGGCTGATAACGTAAGTCCACAAGCACCCCATAATATCTACAAGAAGCAAATAACTTTTCACTTTAAAACTTACGAGGGGATTTTCTTTAGGTGCTCGAGCAAACAGTATAGGCAGTGCATATGCGGATACTATCACGATTGTGGTCAGAAAAACACTCACATCCCCCAGTGAAGAGCTTTCCTGGAAATTTTTAGCGACCAGCAATGGAATTGGTGCTAGTATGTAAAATATCAGCATGAATAGTGGCCACCAAACACTAAACATGATTAAACTCCTAAGTAATTCTGTTACTTGTACTGTGGTAACGCACAGGCTAACAGTAAGAATGTGAATGAAACTGATCCAGCAAGCGAAACAAAAATTACGGCTTTAAAGTTTCGAGTAATGATATCAGTTGTAAAGCAACATACTCCTAATCCCTGTCATTGTATCCCAGGTAGCGCCAGAAACTGCAAACGACCTAGACTATTAGAAAACCCGCTGAAAGTAAGGTGACCATCCAAAACCCACCAAGTTTCAGTTTCTGTTCGGAAAGGACAAAGGCTTGATGGCTTGTGTTAGCCCTGGTAATGACAGTTTCTTAATTTATTTTGCAAGAGTCGACGGATGGAGCCTCAAACACATGCTGAGGTAATGAATTACACTCGATGATGATTCGATGGGAAGTTGGTAGTGTGCTGACAAGTAATTTGTCCTGAGCTTGTGAATTTTTCTGGAGTGTCCTTGTAAATCCTCTGTTTTCGAAGACAAGAAAAATGAGGACATATCATGTGCAAATTTATCACTAAGCAATTTGGAAACAGTAATCGATTACCTGCTTGCACATCCTAAATTACATGATACTGTTGTAGAATCCGCCAGAAAATATTTACAAAACTTCCTCAGGGAATACGAATGGTGTTATGGATCTGAAAACTTAGTTTACAATGTGCATTTATTACAGCACCTCCCTGATGACGTTCGTGCACATGGACCTTTGGATAGTTTTTCAGCCTTTCCATTCGAGGCTTATATGAGACAAATTAAGGATTCCGTGTTTAGTGGGTTTGCAGTAGCTAAGCAAGCAGATCAGCGTTATGCTGCAAAAAATGTCTTTCTGCGATGGACTTCAACTTAGCTGTTTAACGAATACCACCCCAATATGCGCTCCAATAAACAAGTAATTATTTTTAAGAATATTAATATAACTTCATTTAAGCCAGATAATGTAGTAGTAGTAAACGGACAGCCTAGTTTAGTCACTGATATAAAGAAGGATGGACTACTAAAATTTAGATTTTTCACTGACCCACGTAATTACTTTGAAGATCCTTTCCCATCTAGTGATATAGGAATCTTTATGTGCTCCGTAGTAAGCCATGAACACACATGGATATCACTTAGGGACATTGATTGTAAATGTATAGCCATCAATTGTATCAATAATCTAGTTATAATCCCATTGTTGCATACTTTAATGCAAATGCATTTTGTTTCACTAGTGTTGAATTAATGACGATAAACAATTTAATTACGTCTTATGTTATTTTTAGCCCACTAACAAGCGATACGTCATTGTTGACGTCCTCAGCAAGAAACAGCTTATGATAGCATCCAAGGAGTGGATAGTAGGCAAGGAACTTTGCCTTTTTCCAACGGAGCTGGTCGACACGCACCTGCAAAACTGCGATAAACCAGATAACAACTGGTCAGTTATGAAATGTAATGTAATTTACGAATTAGGTAAGTAACAAACATAGAAACTATAATTCACTATAGATTGTTTGCAGTCTGCGAAAGATCTATTAGTTTCTTTACAAATACTAGAATCTCGCCGTGAAAACACTTCTACCGATGAAAACACATTGCCACAGAACACAGAAAAGCTCAAGAGGTCTGTACAACAATCTTACTAACATTTCCTAGAGGTGCAATGAAGCATAAAGAACAATTTATTTACAATTCAGCTGACATTGACGTGGCTGAGATGCAGGCTGGCAATAGCTATGTTCAATATCCGAAATTCCGGTTGTTTGACAAATTCGTCTCGCCAATTGCCAAGTAACTTTCATTACTATTTAGATGTTCACGAATTAGTTCGACGCAATTAGAGACATCACCGTCAACATCGGAATCTAAGCATGTCAGTGGTGATGTATCGGACCAGTAAGCCACCTGCATCATCAAGTGAACATTTTTAGGTTCGATAGGTTGCATACAGTGGTGCAGAACAACTCGTCAACTATGACTGACTTTAGTCAAATGCTGACGTCTAGCTTTACAGTTATGCCGCCACCGAAAACTCTTCTGAATCTTCTAAAGTTCAAAACCCAGAATAAAGTAATCCTGATGTAGCTGGTGTCCATCCTCTGAAGAATGTTGACTTAGATTCAACCCGAAGTAGTTGTGCTGATGACGAATAGGATAACACAGTCTCAACCCCTGTTAGTGCAACACCCAATTACAGTAACTGTGCAACGAATAACATGAAAACTAATCATAACATTCGTATAACTGACCACACACTTAACGTTGATAGATTCGAACCTCGCAAAACATCTCAAGTATGTTCAACAGCACATGGTAAGCGTTTTTTAACGAGTTAGTTTTCTACGGGATGGGGACGCTAACCCCATGCCCAACCCTCCTCCTTTACCCGGGCTTGGGACCGGCAGTAACTCTGGAAGTGCTACAGGCACAGCACACGACCCTCTCCAAATTATGAAGGAGCCGTGATTAACCACAAACTTTGGAAATAAACGTCTGGAACATGTTACCCATACGTCAGGTATAATTGGTAATCTGAATTGTAATTGGCCACTTGGTTGCACACATAGACCTGATAGCCTTCTTAGTCCGGCTCCCAATATGTACACTATGCCTTTATCAGATGTTATATCCAACAGCAATGAGAAGACATTTTTGTAATCCCGCCGGCTTTCCTGCCGGCAACGGTAAACATATTACACATGATGACAAAGTGGTTGAATCTATTTCCCCTCGCAACACAACTCTTACCTTAGCCAATCCTACGAGCATTCATGGAACTACCAATTGCGATTTATACTCTAACCTGCTTCACTATGATAACTCTGAGTTTCTTATTCTTTCGTTCAATTCCCGCTCTCTGTCCAATGAAATTATTCATCTTAAAACTCTTTTATTCCTTGTAAATCCAACCATTATACTTAATACGGAAACGTGGTGCAATTCATCTATATCCGATCATTCCTTGAATGTAGATAACTACGTTTTCTTTAGAACCGATAAATGTTATGGATTAGGAGGCGATACAATTATCTATGTCCGTTCAGACATTCAAGCGTGCAAATTTGAGGATAAATCCCTTGATGCTATAGACCACTCCACTTGGGTTACTGTAAACTGTGGATCTCAAAATTATTTACTGGTGAGATGCATATACAGACCACCTAATGCGGATACGAAGTTTGACAGATTACTAACAAACATCTGTTCCATTGCTTCGCACCAACCGCATACTTTCAAAATCATCGGAGGTGATTTTAGTCTGCCAAAAATTACATGGGGCTTGACTCCGGTACCAGGTTGATATAACAAGCTAGTTGAAACACTAGAAATTTGTGGATGGGTTCAACAAGTGCGAAAACCGGCCAGGGGGAATAATATACTTGATTTAATGTTCACAATCAACATAGACTCTATCTCAGTGCATACCAGTCATGGGTTTTTTATGAGTGGCCATACAGTTGTATTGAGTACTATTCACTCTTTAAACGCCATACAATTGAACTCTAAAGCTTCATTGATGTACCAGAGCAGACATTTTGATCAACAAACCTGGAAACGGACTGAAAGTCTCATTCAATGTTTACCATGGGACACTTATTTTACCACAAATTATGCTGACATTGTGCTTTCCAATCTATACCACAACCTGATATATTGCCTTGACTGCACTGCTCCAGTTATTGGCCGTGTGGCTTATAATGCTAATAGGGGCCGAAATACTTTTAAAAGGAAGCTGAGGAAATTAAAATGCCGCTACTACGAGCAGAATGATGTGTATGCACTTCAGAGTATACTTAAATTAATCAACAGAAATGCTTCATCTGAACGTAAGTATTTTATGAATATAGAAAATGAAGCTCTACGTAGTAAAAGCCCAGAATTATCAATACTTCGGCTTTTCAAATCCCGTGTAAAGTCAAATTCCCTTGGCACGACTAAATTCTTCATAGTTGACGGAAGGATTGTTAACGACCCGAATACTATATGCAAACAATTCAGCAAGCACTTCTCGCAGTGCTACAAAACTGGAACTGAAAGCTCCAGCATTACATTTCTAGTGCTAACATCCAGACATCTGTCGAAAATTGATTTCACACCCTCCAACATCAAGCAGACCATAGCTGCCCTGAAAAAGTCTTATGATGGTGGACCTGACGGGACACCTTCATCATTTGTGAAATATGGGAGTAAAGAATTTCCACTATTTTGTTTGAAACTTTTCAACCTATCTATGGAATATGGGACCTATCCATCTGTATGGAAAACATCCCTTATCACCCCTAGATTCAAAACAGGATCACGTAGTGATATTATTAACTATAGACCAATTAATTTGACATCCGTGCTCTCAAGAACCATGGAAAAAATCATTCACAAACAACTATTATCATTTTTACTTTCGGCTAGTCTGATCGGCCCATTCCAACACGGGTTTATGACTAAACGCTCATGTTTCACATCGCACCTGGAGATTTTTTATCAAATTACCCAGAGAAGAGATGTTGGTCAGTCAGTGATAATTCTTTACTTCGATTTTAGTAAGGCTTTCGACAGTGTCTCACACAAACTTCTTCTTTTAAAACTCTTCATTTGGCATACAGAATCCCCCTTTATCTTGGCTCAAATCTTTTTTAGAAGAACGTAGCCAAATCGTTCGCTTTGGATCTTGCTACTCTAAACCTGTGAATGTAACCAGTGGGGTTAAACAAGTTAGTGTGGTTGGTTCATTTCTCTCTCCTTTTTATCAATGATGTGTGTTCCCTCTTTCAGTATGGTAAACCTTTCCTCTTTGCCGACGACCTGCGAGTTGTACGAATGGACTGTTTCGTGGAATATGCCACTTAATGCTAACAACAGTGGATTTATTCACATTGGCCGCTGCCTTAACTTGAATCTGACTGTGCACAAACATACACTCAAACCTCTCAACACTATTTGTGACCTGGGTTCAATATATAGCTACAGTCTGAACTTTCTGAGCACATTATATCTCAAGTATCCAAAGATAGAAAGCTCATCTGATTGATAATGATAAACTTCAATAATATCGAATCAAGATTGCCCAAACAACCAAAAAGGGGAAATAAAGGCGCACAAAGGGGAAATAAAGAGGAAAATGCATTGGAAGAGAAAGGGGAAATAAAAAGAGAAATGCGCCAGAATCTCGCCTTTTTCGCCTGTCCGGGGGAAATAATGCGGATTTCCCCCTTTTTGCCACGTTGTTGATAAATTACCGACTTCTCGCCTAAATATCCGCTGAACTGCCTACTT